CGAACATGTTCAGCCAGCGCGGAAAAAACGGTCGATTCCAAAGGTTTTCGAGAACTCGCGAAACAAAAAAAAAAAAAAAATAAATAAATGTTCCCCTCCCCTCTCCCCGTCGTGTAAAACACTCGATTTTCGGTCCAAGGTCAGGGGCATGCGTGTGACAACCTACGCGGTATCGGGTACGTGGATACTCGCGATACGCTTTGTTTACTGTATTACAATGTTATGAGTGGACTTTTTTTTTTTTTTTTTTTTTTATTCCGTAAAAACTTTTTTTGTCCCGCCACTCAACGCGGTCATGATGAATCACTACCGTCGCGACAGTGCTCGGTACCGTCTATATTCCACTCGTACCTTCTATATTTATACACATACACGATTATGTACAATAATAATACTCGAACTCGGATTATTATCGTACTGCCGGTTTCGTCGTATTGTGATCGTCGTCTGTCGTGTCACAATAAACAGTCACAATAATGTCACACCGAAACACTATCGGTTCGAAACTATAGCCAACGGCAATAATGCTACGATATCGCGTCCGAAGCTCGTTGGCCCAGAACTGAATTCACGGTTTAACGGCGTGTGCGTTTTAATGGTATGATACACGCGCGCGCGTTGATCTATCGGGTCGGGCACAGGTCGGGTTCAGCGATCGTCGTCCGTTGGGGGTTCGAGGATCCGGGGAAATTAACGAGAACTTTTAAACGGGTACGTGGGCAAGACATCTACGGACGGGGACCTAGAACGTCTGTCCGACGCAGCGTCGTTTCGCACAGTTCTAATCGCAACAATTACAAAACAACTGTTAAAGGTCCGCGCATTCGGCTTGAGCGACATTGACGAGGCATTCATAGCGTTTAATGAAGTATGAAAAACCGAGGGAAACATACGAGTAGAACATTCGGTTCTGTTACTCTGACTTGACCGAATCGAAAGTCAAGCCCATCGATAAACCTGTTTAACGGAACGTCCAAAAACAAACAAATTGTTTGCGCGGCGGTTACAGTTTAAATCCAATCGACAAAAAGCATTTAATAACCAAATTATTGGTAGGGCACTAGTTTTCCGTACGAGTGTTTGGCGTGTTTTTTGTTGAGTATTTATGTGTGTACAGTTGTCTGCATGACTTTCGAGTGACAATTTTATTGGATCGATAGTGTCTACGCGTCTCGTCATATATCCACATCTTCAGTAATCTCCATCCGATGCTTGTGCTTTCCGATTAAATATCCCACCCTAGTTCTTCCACGTTTTTCTTGACTATACGATAAATCATCGTGAACAAAAAACGATTCCGACCACAATATTATTAGTCATTTTTTTTCCCTTGTACCAAAGTAACCAGGAAATTACCGAAAACTGTACAAATACTTATCAGTATTATTTCACATTTGTTAAGAAAATTACAAAAGAAATTAAAAAAAATAACCTACTCGTTACCTTTAATTATACGAGAAAGCTTCTATACAACTTGTCATTAGAGCAAGATTTCTGTTAGAAAAGTGGTTTACAGACACAAAAATAAAAACACATCATATAGCAAAACCAATAGATTCCGAGATTCGCTCAAAACCTAAATTAAAAACAAAGGGAGGCGGGGGGGGGGGGTAAGTTTCGAAAACTATAATGTAAAACAGAATAATCGACCGATGCAGTTTTCGTAATAAGGAAAAACACATTTAAACTTTTACTTAAAATCGTCAGAAATATAATCACGTCGTTTCGTACACGCATCGTTGTACAAATTACTAATAATCAAGTGATTATGCCTCTAACGCATAAAAGATCTCATTTGGAACGTTTCACACTTATAACAGTATTACCAAGACAATACCTATTTTATATAAACGATATAATATTATAATAACTGTTCTAATGTATTTTTAAACTGTTATGAGATAATGAAAAAAAAAAAAAAAAAAAAAAAAATGTAACGAAATATAATAATAAGTACCATATTTGATAATATATACCTACTAAATTTAATACTTTTATTATTATAGCGACCGTAATCATTATCCCGATCATTACGGTCGGAGACAATGCCGTATTAGCTATACGTGCTAATTCGTTTCATGGTAATAACAATATTATCTAGTAGATAGCAAGTTCCCACGGATGCGTTTTTATACCGCATAGATTTGCGTTTTTCCGTCCCTTTACGCCACCGGTAATAATCGGTTAGGTACGTTGTTTTTTTTTTCTTTTCGCGGCTTCACAAGCTATTTAAGTTTTCAGCCGCTAAAACCGAGCTTTTCTATTTTTTTTTCTATTACGTGATATGCTTTTTTTAGTTCACCTTTCGGGACCGATAAAACTCCACTACAAGTTCTCGGACACCGCATCCACCGTCTGGTCTTGCACTCCCGGTCTCGTTCCATCCAACTCTGCGCCCGTATCTCTCTTAAATATTCTATCGTCCGCTCGCCACAAACGTCCAATAAATTGGCCAGCATATTCCAAACTTACACGACACCCTTAACAGACTGGACGGAGTTTTGCCTTGTGTACACTCCGTTGATCTGTAAGTTATTCGGTCTTGATTCCCATCTCTCTTCCCCGGCGTTATATAATATTGTAATATATAATGGGACCGTGAATCCATCTTAATACCTCCCTGTCAAATCGTCTAAGCGTCGATAATAACGCGGATCCGAAAACGTTTTCCGGGGACAAGCGACACCTGCGCTTATATTATTAAATTATAGTGAATTAAACTTTCGTAATAGCACCCCGTATTCGTTCAAATAATTACTTATCAATATCGTTCTATGCGATTACCGTATTTTCCATTTACTCAGATTAAATTTTTTTTTTTTTAATAATAATTTACGAACGACATGTATCATGCGTATAACTCCCTACGCGGGGCAGGTAAAGTAAATAAAAACAAAAAAAAAAACTCGCTTGTCGATTCGCGTAGAAAAAAAAAATAATCTCGTAAAATGTGTACACATTAAATTATAACAGTGTGGAATATCGTACGTACAATGCGATCTATAGAACTGTGTAAATCGACAACACGTAACTGTTCGCGTGCATTACGAGCATTGTACGCGTATATTTTGTAATAACCGTTAACGGGAAACAATAATATAAGTAATGCGGTTCGAATATGAAATAAAATCGCCCGTCATTGTGACGCGTTAAAACCGAACGCGCGGCGGCGGGAAATCGAATACGGCGCGTGTAAGCGCACAGACGTCACGCCCGTCTAAACAAATAATTAATATCGTTGACCGGCTGACGGTTTGTCTGTTATTTTCGTCGTTTTCACGTAGCCCGGCTGCGGCTATTGACTGCGGTAACGAATCGCCCTACGAACAGACGGGCTTTTCGCGTCGCGTCGTGCCGCGGCGTCGCGTTTAACCGCGCCGGTCCGCGGCTCGCCGTCGCGCAAAGTTCCGCTGTAAACTGTACGCGTTGCGGTACGTCCGTTACGGCCGTACGGGATCCGCGGACAGAGTGACGCGCCGGACGGTTCACTCGCGTCCGCCGTAAATATGTTTCGTATGACCGCCGGCGTCCGGACGCGGGGGGCGTTTGTCGCCGTTCCGCGTCGTCCCGGAACCGCCGTCGCGAAAAAGCCGCGGCCGACTGGCCGGCCGTCTATCGCTGCCGCGTGTTGTAATATCAACGTTGTGTTTCGAGTGTCGGTTTAATAAGTGCGGCTACGCGACATATCGTTCGTCTCCGCGATCGGAATTCGCGCACACGCCGCGCAACGGTTCCGAAGTCCGACGGGAAATAATACGGACTCGGACACGCTATGCAACGTCCGTGCCGCGGTGATAACGCAGAACGATCGATCCCGAACGAGACGCTGTCGTCGTCTCGGACGGTGTATTTAACAAATTTTTGTCGGGATTTTTTCTTCGGACCATTTTATACGAAACAAGCAACCGTAATAACGATAATAATAATAACAATAATAATAAATTATTATTACGGCCGCGGAGAGTTTTAACGGCGTCGTTTCGGAAAATGCGTCGTTTTATGTACGTGCGGAATGCGCGCTTTACATAAAATCGTATTTTCCCGCGTCAATAAAGAGCGAATTAAAAACAATATAGCTCGTCGTTTCACAACTATTTTCGAGTATGTAGAAGAGGGTTCGGCATACGTATTATGTTATAATTATTTTACGTTCACGTGGGCGTTTCGACGAAATATCGCCCGGTAACTAAAGCGAAAAACGTAAATATTATAATACCCACAAGCAGCGTGGTGTTCCCATAGGGTACGCGTAGTGCGCATCATTGCGCGCACGTATCCGTAAACTTTCAGAATTTTATTACAAAATCGCAGGTACTGCGTGTACGCTCGACAGTAGTTTATTTTTCACACAAACGTGAACGATCGTCGCGATATATTATCACGGGGGTTTATCGGTTCCGCCGTTTTAATAAAAACTCGAACGCCGAATTTTCAAAAACTCCGTCCTTATAAAATAGGTGAAATAGGGGGTGAGAGTTGAAATTCTCGAGTGGGGAAGGCGCTTAATTGGACCGAACCGTACAGACACATAAATGTATACAAGTCGCGGATAATACAGATAGTTTTATATATACACGTGTATTTCATTGGTGATTGCGTGTTTTCGCGTCGGTTTCATACCGCAATGTGTATGCGTAACAATTAAAAGTTAAATCGAAAAGCCGGAAATCTGAAATAAAATTACGAGTTTTCCATTATGGTCTCGCGTTCAAACAATAGACATTTGGCGACGATTGTAATTTTGCGCGCGTTTTATGTTACGTCGTGTAAAAATTAATTGTGAAATAATTGACGGAAAAATCAATTGGTTTAAATATTATAATAAAGCGTATGTAAAATACATAGGTCCGTGTGAATGACAATGTGTCGATAAAAAGCGTGCCGCAAAAATCTGTGTTGATCGCGACACGAAGACAATCGTAAAATACGAAAGTGTGCATAATCGCGAAGAGGAACCGGTTCTGTAAGAGACACAAATTTATTTTCGAATCAACTGAAACGACCGTTTGAAGGGGAATTATTAGAAAGACCATCGAAAATTACAAACGAAGAAATTTTAAATAACCGTGTCAAATACAAATTGTTTAAAAGTACCGACGTAAACGATACAATTTATCAATGTTTTGTACCGATCTCGACCGATCTGTATAATATCCAACCTGACCGAAAAATATTTCCGACGATATTGAAATAATGAAAATTCGGAAAATGAAAACTGTTGAGAATGAATGTTTATTGCTTGATGTTTGATACGGTAAATAAACTCTACGGCTTCCGATTTAAAAATTTCTGTGCTCGAGTGATAACAACTATTCGAAGACGGTTGTACGTTTTATAGTTGCCCGAGATATTTTTATCAACTATTTAATATGCATTTTTAAAAATGGACATTTCGTTCCATTATCGTATTTTTTTACTCGGACAAATGTACAACTGCATACACCCCGGCGTATTCAGTTGTTCTGTAGAAAAACGTTCAAATTTAAATTTCAGTCCAATTACGCTTGGCGCTGATTTAAAAAAAAGTTATACGTGTCGGAGCGAAATCGGTGCGGCCGCAACAAATCAGGATCGTTTCACGCAGATTTTATCCGACTCACAGAGTTGGTGGCGGCATACACGAAACAAAACATTCGTAATTACTAATAGTATTAAATCAACTCCATTATAATATGTACAACGTATGTTCCACATCATCCGCTTGACGAAATTCTGTTCATCGAATAGCCACCCGCTCTGCGAAACGAAATATTTAGTGGCGCTCATTTCAGTCAACTACATCGTATTTCTGCGGTAAAATTTTTCAAAAATTATATTTATAATAAATACTAAATATTTGTTTCGTTAAGTAGATTGGCAATTCGAAGAAGTATTACCATCGAATCCTGCTGTGAGAACACAACGTTCAGTCGTATACAGAGTGAACACATCAACTTGACGAGAAATATAACGTATGTATGATAATGATCAAAATAATCATTTTCGTCGAAGAAGACCGTCTTCCTTGTAATTTAATGCTGTAGTTAATTGTACTTACTGAAACCCCTACGTCTAATATGCCGTAACGTATTACCGATAAACTTATTGTTGTATTTTTTTTTTTTTTTTTTTTACAAATATCAGTTAAAACCGTCAATATTAAATTTATCGAGTAAATATTACAAATTTAAAAAAAAAAAAAAAAAATGAACGTCCAATTTAAACACATAATATGACGTGTACGTACTTTTCGACACAGATGAATTTAAAATATTGTACAGGCATTCGAATTGAATTGTACACTTACAATGTAAAGTGTATTTATTTCCTTACTCTCGAGTTATGTTTTTTTTTATAAAATATGTTGTGAAGATATCCGTGTTTACTAGCTGGCACATTTATGTAACGGTAGTGGCATACAAATCAACTTACGGGCCGTTTAAACCACGCCAGAGGTAGAAAAATTCCAATGAGCTTCCACGCTCTAACTTACGTAAATATCCGTAAATTATGTACAACAGTAAGTAATGGATACTCTTCTCTCTTTTTTTTTTTTAATTTTTTTTTTCTTATATAATATAAATTGTAAGTAATAATAGTCCAAATTCACCGAACCTAATTACATAATTGACTACGTTTTTCAAACAATAACTGAATACGATTTGGATTTTCTACCGAAAAAATTCATTAAAAAATCCTTATGTAAAACTCATGAAAAAAAAAAAAACTGCGTAAAAGTGATAAATATATATATGTATATTATTATATTATGTATTCTCGGGCCCCTTAACGGGCGGCAAGCGTATGCGAACCGATTTACTGACACATTACTCCAAACAATATACGGAATCTCCACCGTGACGTTTCGGTAATAATAACAGTTTTCCCTCCCTGCAAAAAAAACCATATGACCGCCGCCGCGCCGTTCACATGATATAATTTCACAAATACCCTGTACACCGATTGACGTTTACTTTAGATCATCCGATACGACGCAATATACTGCGTCGTTAAAATGAATAATCTCGAATACGACTGCGGTCGTACAGAAAATCGTATACGTTTTGACGGATATCACTCTATAATATTTCAACCGTTACGACATTTACGGTAATCTACACCCAGTATACTGTATCGAGAGCCAGGTGCCAATTCGGAAGTCTTTAGAAATCCGCGTTTTTAATGTTATTACTCCTCTGAAAGCGGTACCGGCCGATTCGTCTGGACGGGCTCTAAATGCATTGTGCTGTGCGCACTGTCCGGGTCTGGTGGTGCCCCCATTCCGATCCGCCTATCCAATTATTATTGGGTATCCAGAAATATTCATTTATCCGTATTCGCGCAACTGAAGTAATTAATCTGTTATACACATATTAAGCAAATTTTCGATTTATTTTGTCGCTATTATCGGCACCTATTATCGTTTATCTATAATGATTTAACAGTGTTTTTTTTTTTTTTTCAACAGTCTGTTTGATAAAATCGATTTGTAACGAATAAACGACACGAGTTTTTTACGCACCCACCTTATTTACCTGATATTTTGACCTCATTGCCCGTATAAATTATATTACGTTCTAATCGTTTTGTTCGGGAAGCGAAAATAAAAGTAGTTCGGTGTCATTGAAAACGTCGTAGTCGTACAAAGGCGACCAGTTCAACTATTATACAGACAGGTATCACGATAAAGAGGAATAATTTACACGTTAAAATAATAATAATAATAACACAATAATACGGATCAATAGATCAAACGATTCGGCGCGGTTCGAGTGGTCGATTGGACACGATAATACCGTTTATCGACGAACGGCATCGGCGACGGCGTATTCCACAGTTTACATCAGGTATAGGGTTAGGTCGGTGACCTTTTTCTATTATTGTCCGAAATACCGAAAAACGAACTTTGAATGGACAAATCCGCAATAATGCAACAGGCACGATTACATATTTCGTTTTAATAACAAAAAAAAAAAAAAAAAAACAACGCTTATATTACCGAAAAACTCCAAAATCATCCCCACCTAAAAACACATTGGCGCAGTAATAATATCGGAGTACTTATCATAAATCGCAAACGTGGCGTGGCCGGTCACAAGTCCATTTTTTCTTTTTTTGTCCATGAACAAAAAATGCACGCATTGTTTTACCTTTGCCATAAGGTTTTGCAAAATAATGAATACGTACGGATCGTATTGCGGTATAAAGGTTTCTGAAATGTGCATCATACTCGTACATACTTCGCGGCCCGTTAAGTCAAGTGCACATCGGCTCCCTCGGAATTGTTTGTAAACGCGTTGTGTGTTACGTAATAAATCTACTAATGAAGCAGAGTTCGTTTCAAAAATTTTCGCGGCTACATTTTAAAATGCGAGTGGAAAACTATATTAAACATTTGATCTTTTAAATACATAATCCATCACGTTTAATTTCTCATTTACGCGTATCGGATAAATCATTTTGCAATGGAAGGGAGGAGTGAGATAAGGATAATTTGTGAGGACTATTATTTACGTAATTTTTTTTATAACCGTAAAGATATATTTCAATCTACGGGGTGATTTTTAAGCACGCTCGTGCCATTTGTATGGTTAAATTATAGATAAATTCGAATTCTGGCTTTTGGAATTTAAACTTATGCGTGATTTAGTTATAAAAATGGGACGAGCGTACTTAAAAACCCTGTATATTATTATAAATAGCAAAACGAGGTAATACGGGGTTATATCCTCCTCTTCATCCCCCTCCCCCTGTTTGACCGCCCCCGCGTGTATTGTAATAATAATTCTGAACGAAACAATATCGTTGGCCAATAAACAAAATTAACGAACACGTAAAAATCTAAACACTCGTTTTCCTATTCGTATCTGTTAAAAATAAAACGATAAACGGAAAATCGGTACGTTCTATTTCGTTTTGAATAAAACGAGTGAAACGGCGGAATATTGGTACTGTGAAATATTTTGCATGCATTCAGCGGTTCGAAAAACGTGGCCGAAATCCAATAAAAAAAAAAAAATTAAACACAAATTCACAACAGAGTTGTAGTTTCTCCGCGGTATTTAAAAAACGGAACACAGCGCACAAAACGGACCGACGACGGGGACGCCGCCGTTTGTGCGACGCGGACGCCAAAACGTCGAGCAGCGGTCGGACGCGTGAAGTCCATTCGATTCGTGCAACGCGTACGCCGGCGAACGGTCGTTACGGGGTGTCGCCGAAACGTTCGGACCGAGCGGGCGGAAATCGCGGACGAAACGTGAATTCTGCCGCGTGTGACCGCCGCCGCGTACAGTTAACGTGTACTGTCGAATCTGTATTGCCGCGCGCCTATAATTTCAATTATTAATATTTTACAGCGCGAAAACCGCTCATTATTATCGTTATTATTACGCAGTTGCGGCCCCGGCGAGGTTGATTCGCGCCCGTTATTAACCTAACCGAAACCCGTGCGGGCGCGGGAACGCGGTGTAAACGTTCGCGGGCGTTACGGGCCCGCGTGTGAAAATTCGACTGGCGTCCGACGGTTTATTTACGACCGCGCGCGCGACGATAATTTCGTCGTTATTGTTGCTGTTGCTTCGTACGCGATGCTACACGCCCGCCGTGTCTAATAAATACCCGACTAACAAACTGCAGTTGCCGTACGTGCGTGTATAAGTGTATACGAACGCGCGTAACACCAATACGGTATAAACGGTTTATTAATATCGGAGGGTCAGCGCCATCAATCATAAAAAAAAAAAAAAAAAAAAAAACAAAAACGAAACGTACGGAACTACGGAGTACGTCTGACGCTGAGTCGCAAATCATCACGAGGTATTAATAATATAATAATAATAATAGAGAAAAAATAAAAAAAACGAGATCGAATTACGCCGATGAACGCGTATTACCCTTATCTTTGATATTCGTCTAGACGCCGCGGTGAAGGTCACGCAAAGTTACAGCGCATAAACCGCTAACGTTACGTATGTCGTTACTGCGTGTTCACTGTGACCGCGTACGCGCACAATTTCGAATCGCCGGCTTTTCGAGGGTTCGCGCGCCGCGGATCCTCTGAAAACCCCGTCGCGAAAATCAAAACAAAACACCACGTCCATTTCTGCAATGGTTTTTGTCCCGAAAGTCCCCGCGGGCCGCGACGGCACAGCCGAATTCGCGCAAGCTATAGGCGACCTCGTAATTATAAATAATCAATCAAATATGTTTTATACGTAGTGTCCCGACCGTTCGTTACCGCCGCGTTCGACAAATTTCTCTAGAGCTATTACCGTCCAATTGTGTTTTTATTGTTTTTCAATCTGTTTTTCATCTACCGTAGAGAAATGTTAAACTTTCGTTTTCATACGCTGATCGGTAAATGACTTTGTATTTATTCTCTTTAGAAAAAAAAAACAATTTTTCGTAAAACGCTTTGGTTTTAAAAGATATTAATATTTTAATATCATCAGGTACGTGTACATAGGGTTTAGCGGGTTCAAACCGCCTCTCCCCCATGCAAAAAAAAAAAGTCATGGAAATTATGATGAAAGTAGATTTTTAACAGAGTCTCAAAAGCGGTTTCTGTCATCGAGGATGATAAATACAATTTTGGTTTTATTTTATTGTTAGATAGTAGATGTACATTGTTATTATTGTAATTTCCCTGCTTTTAGAAAACTATAACCGATACAACGACATTGCACAGTCCGAATATTATCATTACAACAATATGAATTACGTTATCATTTAGGTTGTATTCACTAAGAAAAAATATTAAATGCAAAATTTAATAACAGTTACCTAAGCATAAATGTTATAAAACATTGATATTTTTAATGAAAAATAAATAATCCTACAATTGAAAGTATATAAACTTTTTTGTTGTGAGAGTATGAAAGTGTACAACCTTAACCTCCCTCCCCCTCCCATTACGAAATATTTTTTTTTTGCAAACGTAACTGAATACTAGTCTCGTTTTTCACATCTTTTCTGTAGAAATTAATACGGCTATTACAAAGAAACTATTGTTCAGATGCGAACTTACATGATGCATACATTAAAATGTTTTTAATAATATATTTTACACAATGGCTATTTCGACCATTTTGTAAAGTGAATAAAAACGACTTTGATTTTGAAATTTTGAAAACAATCTAAACAGATATCCCTCTCAATGAAAATCAGGTTGAAAAAAAAATATTGGATATAGCCAAGCTCTAGAAAAATCCATCAAACACGTTGGGGCACGCTGTATATCTTATCTACCCGACTTGGTTTTTTTTTTCACATTTTTATCACGAATTTTATTTGCCCTCTATTTTTAGGGTGCACTATAAATTACAATAGGAGCCGATGTTTAAGTCACACGTCGAACACAGCCGACATTCATTATCAAAACAACGAAAACACATAAACTACGATGAATATTAACAAGTACATCATTATTCTGTAATACATTCGTACGGTGTAAAAAAAACAATTCCTATACATTAAAGTCTAACGATTATTTTATACCAATTTTTTTTTCGTTTTAATGTTTAATCGAAAAAAAAACAAAATTAATATGTCGTTTTGCTTTGCATGGCGATAAACGAGTTCCTATTTAAACACCTGCTGTTTAACAATCTTTAATCGTACGCCTTATTGTAAAAAAGCGTTTCTTGTTCTAATATTTGAAAACCAAAAAAACTTTGAACTTTTTCGTGACCTTTTGCGTCCTTTTTTTTTTTTGTCCCGTCGTATTAATAATAATATAATTTTTTATTCAGCTTGGCGGTAGTATTCTGTTAAATTCAGGTCGGCAATCGCAATAATAAACATACATTTTCTTTTATTTCTTTTTCCGAACGTATTTTTTTTTTTATTTTAATAATTCACTCGCTGTTTTAAATTCTATACGAAACTTGGTGCGTGTTTTTTTTTTTGTTAAGCACCTTTTTTTTACCAGAAATCATACTCCTATCAAAAACTTTATATTAACTTTATTGTAGAAATTTAGATCTTTAGGTCATTTTTTGATTTTCCATGTAGTTTTTTAATAAACTGAGAAAACTGGCAATTTTTATCGATAACCTTGATAACCAAAGAAAACAAAATCGACTAATAATACCCTGCTCAGAATCGTTGTTTGTTAATAATGATTTGAGGTATAAATTAAATCACTCTACACGTCCTCTCCTCAAAGACCCCATATAAAATAATATCACATCCATCAGCAGTATCAGCCTATATCAGAAAATTCCCCGAAAATAAAGACTATTATGTATACCTAATTACCTATATGATATTATATCTTTTTATATAGTTAGACATTTTTATCAAAAGATCACGGAACTCAGAAATTGGAGGTTTTTTTATAGGTGGATTTCAGTTATAACATTTTGGTTGAATTTCAATACGAACCTAACCAATATATTGTTGCGGTGGGAGGTGATATGCTTTGTACACCACTACGGACGCATCAAATAAAGAAAGAGGAGTGCAATTCTGTGAGTATAATTTTTGTACCATTTTTATGTTTAGATTTCATGTTTTCACAGAAAATGGCGGGTTTCAAATGCCCTATCAGACTCATGAAACTAAGTAACTCGGTTAAAGTATAATATATAGGCACATTCGTATAATTGTTGTCAAATATGTGCCTTTAAATGGTTTAACCCCCCCCCCCTAATCCCACCGTGTGTCTGTGTGTCATCAAGTCTGCCGGGGGAAAATCCGGCCGTATTGGAGGAGCTCTGGTACTAATGAATTATATATATTTTTTTTTAAATTTATAATAATTTTTATATAGATCCAAACGAAAACGTCTAATCGAAATATACGTACATCACATAAAAATCGCAAAACATTTAACTATTTTCGTCTTGTCCTTCGCCTTCATCCCAACTATTTGAAATCGGTCACCGTCGTCCAGATCCTCCACTTCATCCGATCTCCCACATAGTTCTCGCGTAGACCCACCGTCCTTGTATTATTTTCAATCGCGTTCAACAGCCTCTTTTTCCCGGTCTTGTTCTCCCGCCGTCCCTCCTGCGTTTGTTTCCATTTAATTCGCGCCGATCGTGGTTCTTCTCATCTCGTAATGCGCCCACGCCGTCTCGGTGTATTTTCTCTCGTTTCGTCTGCTGCCCGGGGCCACGCACAAAACAAATTAAACTGTAATTCGTATTTTTACCCGGACGCGCGTCCCGCGATTTCGTTTGTGCATTACGCGCCGAGGCGATTGACGAAACGATAATCGTCGCGTTTTCGTTTTCGGATAGTTTTCCTGCGTACACGCGTTCGACGCGGGCGCGCGGCGATTTACCACAGTAACGGCACCGGCACTTTCACCATCTTTACGTTACCGCGTTGCCGGTGCGCACGCGCCATGATAACATTGTAATATCGCGCGTACGTGTATTATTACCGTAATACGGACGCGCGTCGGCTCGTAACAGCCGGTCGCCGACGCTGCGCGCGGGCATATCGTTGCACAATTTCGGACGGTCGTACGATTCGTAACGGCTAATAACCGTGTATACGCCTGTGCAGGTATAACAATGTCCCACGGTTTCCCCGTGTCTCCGTCTGTGGTCCGTCTAGCTGCGGGCTGTCTATCCGCAGTCCAGCATAGTAACGCGCGCACTACAGCAACGCCGTCGCTAATCACTATAGTAGATCTGCACACCGAACAAGTGCAGAATATCGCGGATCGGTGTCCATACCGAATCGCGATTCGGCACGTGAACGCGGTACATGGCCGAAACGTAACTGTGATATACTAATATCACAGTGCGTAAGAGACGAACCCCTGCATGCGGGATAGTGCATTGTAACGCCTCCCCGCGTGCAGGGTAAACAAAACCACGATCAGAGATGAGCGATGCGTTGTTGTGTGTGGCGAGGGTCTCACGGGTAACCGTAAACTCGGGGTCAATGAGGAGAATGTTTGAAGATAACTGCAGTCAACAGCCCGTCGAAAGACGAAAATAAACTCATATGAAAGGAGAACGCGAAAGAACACATTTGCGATTCGGAAAGATTCGGAAAATAGCTTATCGCCGTGGTCGGCGTGCAGAGATAACGGCTGAAAATATGGTTAACACGGCGGACGAAAGACAGCGAAAAACGCAAGGCCGCTCTTTAAAAACGTCCGTCGTCGACATGCCGATTGTAGACGACGACAGCCGACGCCTTATCACAAACGAGGCGATACGAATCGCTGTTTATCGGCAAACGAAGGGAATATCTAGTGGTGAAGCCCGGCACGAAAATAATAGGCCTATTCGATAATTTCATTATTATTGAGTCGTCTGCACGTCGCCTGCGAACCGCCGTCGTCTTGTGACACGCGTGTCGTGTGTGTAGACACTAGACACGTATTTCTTTTTACCGCGCGCGTTATGGTCCGTCGTTCGGACCTATTGTTCGAGACGCTTATTATTTACATCATAATAACATTATTATTATCATTATTATTGTTATTACGTTATAGTGTGCGGTATAATATTATTACATTGTGGCGTACTGATTGTTGCAAAACGCGTTCACCGCAATCGCAGGCGCGAATGTCGCGTGACTCGGGTGTCCGCGCAAACGTCGTACATTATAATATTGCGGAACCGTGGACTCCGAGTTTTAAGGAACGTAGGTCGAAAACCAGGATAGGAAAATAGAAAAAAGAAAAACCAATTTTCTCGACGTGTTTTGTTTACAGCGGCGTTAATTGACGAGCGAACACGGGGTGGTATGGTGAACCAGCGTTTTTTCTCAGAGGATTTTGTGTGAATTAAATTTTGATTTTTTTTTTTTTCAATAGTTATAGAACCATTTGAGCTTTACTGTTTTACTGTTGTTTTCAGTTGTATACTCTTACTGTTTATATCTTAAATAAGCATGCATTTTTAGTTTTAATTTAATAACCCCCCCACCCTTTTAAAACACAATAAAGACTATTTTTCTAAAAATGCCAATGTACATAACTCGCTTATATTCGTTTATGATAGTTCATATAAATATTTTTTATTCGATTCTACTATTTGACAATCAAATATTCATTTAAGGTAATCACTTATAAAGAGTAAGAGTGAAAATTTTAAAATAGTAGTAAAATAAGTAGATCATGATAATAATAGACCACCCTGTATATCCACTGCGGCAGGTGAAGGGTATCAAAACACCATCAGTAAATATGATTAACTTTTACTGCAACGGATCAGTCAATTGGCGTGAACTGACTCCTAGATGTGCCAATACTCATGACAGGGAGCATATCATCAATTCCCAAACTGTCCTAACTCCAAAGGGCAACTTTTCAGAAAAAATAAAAAACGTTTTCATCGCAATATTTCATATTATTATATATATCCTATGGAGACTGGATTTTTTTCTTCAACCATTCCGTAGTATTTTCATCGTGACTTTTGTAGGATAATTTATTTTTATTCACCGAGTCAGCTGCTTTTTAAACGACGCGTTATGATTTATTTTTAATTGGAAATATCATAAATTCAAAATCTCAACGACGAGTATTAGGAATAAGGCCGACGATATAGAAAAAAGTTCCGAACAATTTTCGTTTACCGAAATCCATTCGGTTCGGCTTCGCGGTTATATTATAATACGAGCTCTATCAGCAATATCGACTATAGCTGCTGCGTCGCAGTAGACCGTGCATTATTGTGTTATGATTTTAATAACGGCGTGTCGTTATAATAAATAAAATGTTATTATTATTATTATTATTATTATTATGATCTGCGTAGGGAAACGTTATTCGTACACATTATCGACGTTATGCGTCATATTCGGAACGGATTTCGACATCGAACAATTTGCGCCGGGCTGTAATATATCGTTAATCCCGCGCCCGCCGTTGTCGCCGTGACGCTTGTCCGTAAAAAAATCCTTGGGTCACAATCCAATAGCTAACTGTAAAAATTAAATTTAACTCAACAAATTAAATTACAAAAAATAACCCGTGCCATTTTTACTAGATTAATAAAAAAAAGTTCATTTTTTGAATACATAATCGATATACCCATTCGAATTTCGAAAAAAAACTCAATAATTTGTTTTCGGCCGTTAATTATTAACTTTTTAGTAGAAACCAAACTATAATATATTGTAGCTAAGGTTAACGACAAAAACACTGTTAATAACACAAATAACTGTTTTCCATCGTCAAACTCGATCGACCCCCCGATATGAAAGTCGTTACGAAAGTACAAAAAAAAAATAAAATAAATAGTGGCTATAAGAACTATTTACTATCTACTAACTATTTTCTTCAGAAATTGGTTGGATCACAATGAGGTTCAGACACTCATTTCTTAAGAACAGCAGCGTTATCATTATACTATTCGACTGGAGAATATACTTGTGCTGCAAGAAGGAACGCAGCACACGTCAAAAACATAGACATTATACTAAATACAATAAATAGACTAATCACGGGATACTTCAAACCAACTCCCAAATGAAAAGTACAAACATCATACGGAATGACAACTCCAAATGTAAGACTAGAGGTAGCAGTAAGGATATAAAAAACAAAATAAGAAACGGATGCAAGACATTCGTTATATGAAACTAACTTAACGGGGAGTCGACTTAAGTCGAGGAAAAACTTTATGACCACAAAAACTAGTCTACCACAAACACCCGAAGCAACAAGAATAGACTTGTGGAAGGAGGAAACAAAAGATACAAACTCACAAGTATGGAAGGAACCCAAAAGAAAATGCATCCCTTGGCAGCTTCTTATCATGGACAACATAGAAGCCACTTAATAGGATAATAACCGAAACTGGAAGGACTGATGGTAATAGTATAAAGATATAGGGAATGAAAATGAACGGAAAATGTAATTGGGGGAGCATCAAGATGTAGACCATCTGTTAACGTGCTCGGGCTAAGTGTATAAAAGAAGAATTTACAATGGCAAATGATATTACAGACAAGGTGATATAAATCACTACTTGTTGGGAAGGAGAGGAAATATAAAGTTGAAGACCGACACGAAAAGAATAATAAGAAAAAACATATTAACTTTTAACTTAATCGAGTTACAAAATGAATACATTTACAGTTACTTGTATATACAACTATATAGTTTAACTTGACTTTATATATTTCAATATGTTTTTAAACTTGCGAAACTTAAAGTAATTATTACATCTGTCGTCGAGTGACATGTCCTGCCACAGCCGCAGTTTATCACGAGTATGAAAATAACAATTATCTACGCTAAATATATTATAAATGTTATAAATGTTATTTATTTTAGTACAAATAAACAAATGTCAATATGACACTCGATACTATTATAGTATTATACCTAAATAAATATATTATTCATTCATTCTTATATTATACGATACCAACATTTTCTCGTACGTAGTATTTTAAATTTTGTTTTTTAGACTTTAAAAATATATTTTTGTAATATGCGTAATTACTTTTTATTATAAAATGATTATTAATAAATTGCTTATCATATCAGATAGTATACATTATACGTTTCACGTGGAATATTCACTTATGAATTAAATATTCGAAATGTGTTTTATTATTTTGTGTATCTTATTATTAGTTTCAATATTTAAACCTCCGTTCTTGTTAAAATATTATATCAACAAATATTGATCGTTTACTTTAAACAAGGCGGTCTCGTGAATATAGCAAACGATAAAAGCATACAAAACAAAAAATGATAACATTAAAAAATAATCTATAACCCACTGATATTTCCACGAGCTAATAATGAAATGTCTGCATATGAATCCGCGTCCCAGTTATTTTTTGGGTTATGCTAGTTACGTCCCAAATTTGTTTTATGTACATACCATATAGTTGTCTCCCGAAAATTATAAAAGCTAAACAATATTTCCAAGACATCTTTTAGGAGTTATAAAAGGTCAAACTGATAAAATAGTCATATAGTCATATATATAGCACTCTATATATATATACATATATAGAGTGCTTTTTGAAAATCAGCAAAATCATTTTTTGGGGAAAATATGACATTGATTTTGTTAGATACAGACAAAATGTTTAAAAATGCAAATTGAAATTTGTACCCATCAATAATAAATAAATTGCACTGCTTTTCACTGTACACGGTTCTCATTTCTCATGCCATAATCAAAAACGTGTAGTTAAAACTTAAAATTGTAATACGTGGAGAATGGTGAAATATTGTTAAACAGTCAACGCTGAAATGCGACAGTAATATTGTGAACATAACGTAAGACTAAATATAAATTTATATTTAATCGATAATATTAGTGCAATAGCCAACAATCGCACAACATTTCTAGACATTTCAGATGTCGTAAGTGGTCGGAATGCAATTCGGAAGTGTTAAAAATAAACCCCGGGACGCAATTAGTAATATAACTTTGTACACACTTTTACTAAGGACACAACTAATACGCTGTAAATGAAATCGTATGATTAACAATCGATATGTGTTGTACTTAAATCGGGTACTTTATTATAAGTTTTAAATCTGTACACAAGAAATGTGTCTTTCTTTACCACAAATAAAAATAAAAAAAAGTTATTAGTTTTAAAATCTAACGATTTTAAATATTCAAACGCGCACCTATTTCGCAAACTTCGCTAACTTATTTCGCAATAATAATATCGAATACTAAAACCAACGTTCTGCAGCTTAAGTTCTCTTATTTTTTTTTTTTTTTATGAAAATTTAGTTTCATACCAATTAAGTCCATAACCCGAACAGTTTTAAATACGTTTTGGTGTTGACATTAATTTAAATTTAAATTTAAAATTTAAATTTCATGGGATTTTTAATATATTTTTATAATAATTGAAAATTGAAATTGGATAGTGGTTTCCCACCCAAATTAAGGTTGACAAAAAAATAACGGTAATGTGTAAGAGCTGTTTATTATTTCTTTAAAAATAAATTTCGAAAAAAGTTAATTCCTTTCGAGATAATGAGTGCCCTACTCATCGTGTTGATCGCTCTGTATACACTTGTAAATATACTAGTAGCTTAGAGGCCTTGCTCCCAGACCAAAATTGTCCTTTTAGTTTTGTACTTTGCCCAGTTAACCCCCCCCCCCTCTACTCCCTGCCCAATGAAATTCATATGTAAAATAAAATAATTTGCTACAAAATTTACTAATTCTATTATTTATCATTTATTTTCCAATCAATAAGTAAATCATACGGACACGGATAATATCCAGAAAAAGTCAGCTGTGATAATTAGCGAAAAAACAATAGTCACCCAACGCAACATAATATTATCTGCATGTATACCAAAACCAGCGAGTAAAAAACATATTTTACGTATTCGGCCACTATTGACCAAGCGCTATAATAATATGTGCAACGTGCGTGCATTATTATGCGCGCACCTAAGAGTTAATCGATAATGGCGGTATGTTACGTAAAACTGGCATTTACAATCCCACAAAATATAGGTAGTAATATTATCCCATTTTACACGCTTTCTCGACGTCAAAATCTCTATGACGTGTACTAATAACACGTAAACAAAACTCTTGTAAAAATAAAAAAAACAAAACACAGAAAAAAATCCTCACGAGATCTGTATCAGCGGGTTTGTGAGCGTAACGAGTTAAACACGAATTAATATAGATCTTGAACTCGCGTCCAAAATATAATCAAATAAAACTATCAACGAGGCGATGATAATAAGTAGGTATTATAGACTGTAGAGTGGCTGAACGACCGTGGCGTTTAAATTGCACACAAAAATCGTTCGTCTAGGTCGAGTACCCGTGAAAATATAGGCACTTTCGTAAAACTAAAGACCTTCACGTTTAAAGATTTTATCACTTTTCAGCGAAGGCAGTGGTTGACTCGTCCGTTTTGAACAATGAACGGTAAGTGAATGCGATGTAAAACACCGTTTCGACCCGGCAAATTCAGCCGAATTGATCCGAAAATACACATACAAATCGTATGAAAAATTGAACCATCGTGTGTTTGGTCTGAAGGAAAATGTGCTAAGGTCAATTTCGTTTAGTTTTCAATACAAACGTTTAGTTTTCGATTTTAATAATTGCTAAATGACATAATAACATAACCGCTAAATGGCTGAATTGCTAAATGACCAAGTCTAACGTAACCTAAATAATCGTTTTAAACGACTTAAATCATATAATTGTATTGACTATGCCTTTTTGGTCAAATAAAAAGTGCATCATAGTGAAATATTTTAGTTTTCAGTTAAAACACATGTTGAAATATACATACACGTATGCCATTTAGTCCAAAAAAAAAAACAAAACAAAATTATAAAGAAAAAAAATTTCAATAATTGACTAAAAATAGTTCTTCCCTGGAACCAAAAATATAATAAATGAGTTTGTAGACTTCATTATAAATATAATTAAACGTAGACGATTTAATACAGACGGACCAATCAATTTGACTAGTACAATTTCCGCTCTCATTCGTAATTTACAAACACTGTATATAATTATTTTCTGTTGAAGAAAATATACTGACGAGTGCTCGTCGACAAAATATAATAAATTAGAAACAAATCAAATCAAAACCAAATATTGTAATTATGTAGATATTATTTTGATTAGTGAAATTTGATGAAAACATTACGTAAAGTTATTCATTTTTTTTTACATTTTTTAGATACTGAGCGAAGAATGGATTATATTGGTTTTACAGTGGTGTGTGGTTTTTGTCTTTTCTGACTGTGAAAAACTTTTCTGCCAGAAATCGAATGAATAATGGAAATTAATAGAGGTAGGTTATATTTCAACTTCTAAGAATAGATACGCGCTCTGGTGGATTATATTGCAACGATTCTAATGAGGTAATCGCGTAGCATCTACCGCAGCAGCTATTTATTTATTTGCTCTACTAACAATAAATTACAGCTTGCTGTAATTTGTATTGCTCTACTTGGATTATAAATCGATTTTCATTTGTTTTTGTTAGGCATAGACTTTTTAATACAATATCGATAATAACAATCTTCAATATCATACAATTTCTTAAAAACCATGTTCACAATCATACTCATACAGCTCTATTTAGCCTACAAAACGAAAATTCAAAACTTTTATAATTGGTTTATGATAATGCGAGTGTAGAAAAATAACCCCGAACTCAAGTCTGGACAATTTTGGATCTTGATACCAAGAAAAATAAGCAAATAAAAACTGCAAGCCACGAAGATCTATGCATTTGCATAGATGATTTCATCTATTCAATACTTCAAAACTATTTCAATATAAGCAGTGTTCAGATTATACAGGTACCTAAAACATTATATGAATAAAGATAAACCATAAATGCACTATATCAACTAAACTCCGCTCAGAATCGTTTTTCGTTAGGAATGGTTTATTGTTGCTTATAGATATACATTAAATTCCCGTCTGTATTTTACCTTCCCAACTTTCCACCTACAACAGAGGCTAAACTCACATGAAAAATATGTCCGTCTTTTTATTTTTAAGTACGTTTAAAGCTTAAATTTTTATGAACATTGATGAATCGTAAAATTGTACAATTATATACGGATATTATTTGAGGTATTTACCTTACCTCGCTGAAGACACGTGTCGGTTGCACTATCAGTACTAAAATGCGCCAAAGTAACAAAAATTGTACCTATGGTAACTGATAATACTATTTATCTATTTAAACGATAATAAATATCGCAAAACCACTCGCTGGCTAATAATGTTGACAATAATATTCAAGTTATTTATTGTACGTGTATATTTTAATATTGAAATATGTTTCTTAAATTTGTTTTATTAGTTGTCGTTTTTAAAATTTTATTTTTCTAAATCGTTCCTTTAAACTTTTTCAATAGTTTATTAAGTTTTCTTCATGAGTATGTGTTTTTTTTTTTTCTATCTTTTCGTAAATCTTTTTTTTCCCGGTTTATTTGTACGTGAACTTTTCGAGCCAAGACTGCTATTAGCTGCGGATGACTTCAAGGAACTAGATTGGAATTCGGTGATCGTATTATATGATAGAGTGTAATGATGTGGATTTAAGGTAAGGTTAGGTTAATCGGTACAGTGGATTAGGCCTACTCGGGGACACCACTATAAAAAAAGCGCGCTTCGTGCAATACCTCAAACGCTTTTCGAATAATGTCAAATACTCGTAATAATATTTCATCGGTATTTATCGATAGCCAAGGTGGTGTGGAAAATTGCACACGGGTCTTATCCGTATCTTTATTGTAATCATTCGATAAAAGTCGATATTTTAGGCATTATATACTCTCTTTTATGATATTTGTTCAATATTGTACCAATTTTCCCGTTTTTCCTACGTTTATCCCGGGTTTTTGATGTTTTCTCCCGGTTTTCCATGTTTGATTAGAAAACTCATGTTTTCACAACATCAAAATGTTTTTCACATTTAATGAGAAATCGAAAAATGACCTTTCAGAAAAGGTGCTACGTTTAAAAATTAGAGCGAGATTTAATAAAAAAACTGTCCACAAATAAAAAATAAAATAAAATAAACATCTTTGTAAAACCATGAGCTTCTTTACTCACTCGGAGTCTAAAATTGATATGTTACTGAGGAATAACTATGTAACTGTTAAAGTTAATATCTTGAAATAGCTAAATAACATAAATTATTCATTAGCTCGTTAATGAAAATTTGTGTGTAAATATTTATATTAATATTTATTAATAATATACCAATATTTAAAAAAAAAAATAGAAATATAAATGAAATACAAATATGTTCGTTTAGAAAATGCCTAATCGTAGTAATTTTGATATTTTTCTTTGAAAAAAAAAAAAAGAAATAAACAGTTACCGAGATGAATCCAAACATTAAGTATTGATATGCAAATTTTGAACTGCCGTCGGATTTAAGTATTCAATAATATCCGATTAAAGCGAAATGTTTCGAAATATCCAAACGGAACGCGCGCAGATCTCCGAGGTTTTCACATGCTGTACCCCTGCCGTTTCGGTTGGGTTATATTCGGCGAGGGGCGCCGATGACGGTGTCCCGAGAATCCGCCAAAGTTTCGGGACGGGAGAATTTCCCGAAACGTGCGGCGGCTGTACCACGAAAACAATCCGAGAGTGTCTGGCTGAACTTCGCGCGGCGATCTGAGTATTGAACAACTAATAAAAAAACTTTCGAAACATTATTTTCAAATACATCTGTTGGCAAACTAAATTAATTTGGTCGTCACACACACACACACACACACACACGCACACAAACACACATGCACATAATATTAAACAGCTTTTTCACATCATACCGCATCGCGCGTTCGTTTCGTTATTAAAAATGCCACGGTATTATATTATTGTCGACGACAGTTTTGTTTAGTTTTATAATATGCGCAATCGTTTTCGTATCGGATCACCGGGGGGGNGGGGGGGGGGGGGGGAGAAACCGCACGATAAATTATAGGCAAAAGAGTTTCGAAGAGAATTATTTATTATTGTCAGTCGGACGGAAAAGCAAACACCCGTGAGCTCCGTCACTAGGGTCGAATTTTCCACCCGTTTATTTTTTTATTACAAGGTTAAAAAGATTTTTTTTGTAAAAGAATAAATAAACCAATACTATTTTTATAGTATTATCATACGAAACCATACCCGTGTACTACAATTATAAACGCTACCGATTTCTAAAGAGAAAATTTGATCATAAAATTGGCAGGGGGTTGAAGTTAAAAGTTGAAACCCGAAACCCCCAAAAGGCACATCATTGGTACTATAACAACACGCGTACATCAAATTTCATTTGAAGGAGTCCTTAGGGATGTTCAAAGCTATAACAACACGTTACTCCCGCAAAAAAATGAAACTTATATCGGACTTAAACTTTTATACCATTGTGCCAGGAAAAATACAGTAAGACACGTTAAATTGAATTTCTTTTATGATTTTGCTTTGTGAAAAGATCTTTTCGAAAACGTTTACTTTGAAAGGGTAAAAATATAATAAGGTGAAATGGAATTATTTACTCGGGTGAGGCAGTTAGTGTTTTATTATATAATAGATGGCAATATTATGGCACATAAATAAAACTCATTTGAAGACTGGCTATAAAATTTAAAAAAATTAAGATTAATATGAAAAAAAAAAACTATACCGATATTCAGCACCTGATTCGCGTGCATTTACGTACGACCAAACAACTGTTATTCTAACCCCGACCGTTCCTGGGATATTTTTTTTTTTCAAAAGGAGAGGATGGAAATATTATAATTATGCATCGTCCTGTCATTATTCTGACGCAAGATCAACAGAAAATTGTATGCGTTTAGACGGTTTAGAGTTTATACTATTGGATCCGGGAACCTATGCGCAACATAAATACTGCTGCGTACGCGCAGAACATCGATGCATTGCGATTTGTTTGAAGGGGGTGGGGGGTCCATAAAGGGGATGTTTTTACAACAGGAAAAAAGCGAAATACTTTGCGTGCACATATTTCGAAAACCCAATCAATTTTATCCACGGTCTCCAGTCAACGTCCGTCGGTTACATTTCCTGTGGCGCGTTCGCATCGGGGAACCACGGGAAAAAACCCGCTTTCGAAATCGAAATCCGCCAAACGCAATATCCATCTACACGCCGTTCGGTCCGCGGGCCTTCGGGGGTGATCCGAATCGATCGCCGTTCCCGCGTGCATTCTGTTCTGCGTGTTATGTTATTGTAACAACAAGACGTACGATCCGCGCGCGTAACGATGTCGTCGCGCGCGTCTCCGGCGTGTGTTCCGCCGTTTATTGTCGTACGTTTGACTCTTCCGAACCCCCCCCCCCCCCACCCCCATTCCCCACTCAACCCTCGCGACACGTGGCCCCACGACGCGCGGCCCCGCGTGTCGTTGTGACAGTGGCAGAGAAAGTCCGCGCGCACCCGTACCGCCACGGCCGTCGGTTGATAAATTCGTAAATGTTTTCGTTTTTTTTCCCGGTCAACCACCGCGTTTCGCCGGACCGTACGACAATAATAATAACAACAATAACGAATAATCGGCGCATGCTCGATCTCGTTACGCGAACGTGAAATAGGTCGCGCCGTTTTAAATGGCGTTCCGTGTTTTATGGACCGCCGGCGTTACAATAAATAATAACGCGCGATAACAGCTAACGGTCGCGGTATTATTGTCATCGGAATATATTATTACTATTATTGTTGTTGTTGTTGTTGTGTACGGGTTCGGCCTGTACGCGACGTCGCGGTTGTCGCTGCAGTATCGGCGTTATTGTTTTGCGATTTTATCAAGCGCGCCGGCATTGCACGGACTCGGCGGCGTTCTTACACCGACGCGGACGCGTTTTAAATACCAAGACCCGGGAATCGATAACGGCGGACCGAGTGCGGCCGGAAAAGTTTTCGCGCGCCGACGTCGGGTCGTTCCCGCGGTCGCGACGTCGCCGGCGGCCCCGGCACGCGGCCCGCTCGCCATTTCGCCCGGGCCCTGTTGCCCGGGCGAAATTTTTTTATGTGAACACTTTTTCTACCAGAAAGCTTACTCAGATGTATACGATGTAGATTTTTTACTGAAAGGAAATTTTCTTGGGGTTGTACTTTAAGGAAGTAATGTTTTGATTTTCCCGGCAGTTTCCCCCCCCCCAAAAAAGGGAAAGAATGTGAAAAAAACGGGAAAATGTATGAAATATATTGTAGTAAAATATTACAATATGGAAAACATTTCTGCTGGATATTTTGATCTGATTTTCAATAATAGGACATTTTTTGAAAGGAAACTTTCTGACTGATAAGATACTTTAACTGATACTGATACTTTAGGAAATAATTTTTCGATTTTCCCAAGAATTTTTTCAGCAAATGTGAAAACCGGGGGAAAAAATGATGAAACTGGAAAAACGTAGTTAAAACGGGAAAATCGGTACATTATTAAACAAATATTATTAAAGAAAATATACAATGCCTATTTAACTATTGTAATTGTCGGAGCTAATTGTATCACAGGTTCTAATAAAAAAAAAAAATTAAATAATTTTACCATTATATGACATACATATTGTTGATAAAGCTTCATTTCAAGTGAACTCCGCTCAAAATAGTTTTTATTAAGCAATGGTTGCACCAACAGTGGCTGCATCCGTTGTGCGAAGTATGTTCGTTTTTTTTTTTTTTTAAATAAAATTAATTTTATTTAAATTAATTAATTAAAAAAAATTAATTAATTCAAATTTTGTCTGTCTGTTTGCTATACAAATCTACAGTTTTATTCCGATCTAGATGCAACCGAATCGGTGTTCACCTTTTTTTTCTTGGAATTCATTTTCTAAAGACCTGCTGACGTAGGATTTTCGGTACTTTTGGAATGAAAATAGAATTTTTTTGGTTAATTTATTTACTACGTCACGGATGAAAAAAAAAAAAGTTATTATTATTTAATGCAGTTGTCGCAGACAAGGACGTAACTTTTTGAAAAGATAAATTACCGGCAAACAACTATTATCTGCGCTATGCATAAGGGTGAAAACGGCGAGACAAGTTAAATTGAATTCATTTTGTTGATTCCTGTTTTTGAAAGGGTTGATCGCTGGAAACACCGAATAATTTCAGCTAGTAAATATTTGTTTAAATATATGTTTTTTTTTTTTTCTGTTTGTTTAATTATTACGCACCGTTTTATTGCTGATCGTTCAAATAGATATAGATTTTATTATTGTAACAGTTACTGTGATGTATGGTTACTTACAGGAGTGTAACAATTAGTAATTCGCGTATTACCTGACATTGGTCCACCTTTTATTCAAATCGAAAATATCCTTCGAGCTAGATAATAGGTAATAGGATATAATAAATAATAATAAAAGGATAGCTAGATAATAGGAATAATAGTTCGAAATAAATGGCTACATCAATAATATAATATATTATATAAAACACATATGGCTAATACAATCGACACGAGTTTTTAAGGTCTTCTGTTTTGGTACTGTATCGAAAAAAAAACCGACCTGTTTATTCGGCGAAGAACGAATAGCGACGGACACCGAAAACTTCCCTGATATATTTCAAACAATATCGTGAGTGACCGATTCCTATTTTCGTGTTTTTTTAATGTATACTTATATGCGTTATAAATCTTTTCTTTTTGACCATAAAATAACAATTTATAACGAACCTCGTGTTAAGCTGTCAAGAATTTCTGTTCTAACGAACAATTTCATCTACATAAACAAAATAAAAACTAAAAAAAAAAAAACTAGAAAATGTCAGATGCCGAATTTTTGAATTTTTAAAATTTCACCACCTCTAAAAAAAGGCTAATATAAGTAATCTGAGAAAATTGCATGTTTCTAGAATAGTTTTTAACCGAATTAAAAAATAATAATAACAGTCATCACAATAAAATCGAAAATAATAAAACTAATAATGCCGTATTAAATTTCTCATTTTATACACCAATTAGATAATATTTTCTTTCAGATAAGATTTTACTCTTGAAATTTTAAATAAAATTTCTGGTAGAAAAGCCAAATCGAAAATAAAGGAACTTTTATTGCTGTAGAAAATGTTTTACAGACAGACAAAATAATTAGCACACATCGTAGTCAATACAAATCAATACATTCCTCGTTCCGCTCAGAATTTAAAACCATGTAAATATAAAAAGAGTAAAGACAATGGAAGTTACAAAATATAAACACATACCTAAACAAATAAATTGCACAAAGCAAACGTTAACATAAAAAAAAGAAACAAATGCGAAACGAATTAAATTTAAAAGAATGTAAGGTACATATAAAAAAAAAGAATCAGGAAATAATAATTATAAAAGTCCTACATTATAATTATTTTGTATTTGAATACAAATCCTGGAAATTGAAATATTAAAGTTTATTTAAAAAAAATAATAATAAATAAAACATCCGGGAAATGTTTACTTAAAATAAAAATACAACAATCAAAAAGGGTATGAAGAAAAACGCAGTTAATTAAATAACTAAAAAACATTTTCGACAAATTTCAATATTATTGTATACCACTGTATAATAAAAGGTTATTCTTTCGAAACAATCAAATTAAGAAAAAACGTATAGCGAGTAGGTTTTGAAAATACACTGTATAGTTTTGTAGGTAACTTTTTTGATTGTTATAATAATTTTACTATAATACGAACGAAACATTCGTACACTTTGTTCTATTAGTGAATATGCACCGGGTTCCTCTTATGAATAAAAATTTTAAAAAATGTTGATACTTACTGTTGATGGGTGGGTCACTGTTTTAGAAGGAAATTTGAAAGAAAATTTATATTGTAAACTAACAAACAATTTACATCAGCATGCATCTTATAAAACACTGCTGACGAAAAACGATTCTGATTAGAGTATTATTTGTCGTATTTATCATCTTGTATAACATTGTGACCCAGAAATGTATAAAAGAAAACTATAAGGGAAATCAAAAGAAAACCACCGTACAATGGCACCAACATGATTAAAAATGCTACAAGAAAGTCTCTAAAGTTTTTAAATATAGCGAATTTTCCGGTAGAAAGGTCGATTGCAGATACACACGAAAAAAAAACACTTAAGTAAAACCAATAGATTCCTCGCCTGGTTAAGAATCTAAAAAAAAAAAAAAACTATTCTGAAGAAAAACTTATTTTTCTTTAACTAAGTAATAATAACCAAATCTCGTACTCCAATATTATCGTGTTTTTGTTTTATTTTCCGGATTTTCGTAACGTAGTGCGCACATTTTCGTTACGCGTTTATCATTAACTGCACACAAATAGTTCGCGGAGAGGTAATATTTTTGGCATGCGGTTTTACACCAACTATACCCGCTCAATGCCCGTCTTTGTGTTACTGTTATATTGTTATTGTTTTTATTCGTGTACAATTTCTTTTAACGATCACAATGTATTACGATACTAATTAGTAGGTACCTACCCACCTATATTTTATTTATCTCGTTACTGCAATTGTATGGGTAGTCGATTACGGCAAAAGAAAAGAAATATTACGCGCGAGAACGTTATAATTATACGACGATGATGATGTAGACAAAAAGTAATTGCGTAATTATAGCGTGTTAAATTATTTCGAATTCTCATTTCATTTTTTTTTTATTTTTACCATAGTGTTACGATAGTTTACACGGAACGCATATTATTATATTATGTGTGTATACATCATATTATGTACAGTGAATTCAATTGTGTACAGGCTGAAGTGTAAATTATAAAATGCTGGAATATGAAAAAATGTGCGTTTTATATAGTTGTAATAGTATATATTATAAGATTTTTGAAAACAATTTGATCGGCCAAAAGAAATAAAAATATTCGTCTGCAATCTAAAGTTGACAAAAAAAAAAAAAAAACAACATCTTACGCGTCATCAGTGAAATTCCCGATCTATGAAAATGCCGTCCAGAAGAACTAAAAGCAGACTGCAATGTAACAAGACCTGTAATTATGGTAACGATTATGGTGGAAAGAACTTTCGAAAATAAAGTTTGGAGGAAAATCTGTAGACCAGTTACTCGGCGTATATTATAGTTGCGTGGGAAGTCGACAAATTAGGTAGGTCGATTGATGGATACAGGACCGGGCAAATCAGCTTTATCAAAAAGGCCAAAGGTTTCGGTGAGGTTGAACCGCATAAATACATTATTCGTCGAAAAGAAAATGAACCACTATACGAACAGCCATCGAATGGGTGCCCCGAGGGAAAAGGCCAAGTGGTAGATCCGGAAAAAGTCGGTTAATAAACCGCGTAGGAGAGTATTTATGAGCGTTGGGTGTGTTATAGCAAATTGGAAGGAATTGTCGGTATGAACTGATAGAGGGGTGTAGTCGGTATACAGGTGACGGGATATTGTGACGGCGGTCAAATCGCTTAAAGATCGTAATCGGCTGCGCCGAAAGTAGAAAAAGAAACCCGTAAACATATTATTGGATTTAAATATTTCAAAAGCTTCGGTGAAAATGATACTACGAGTATATCAATGCTGTGTTTTTTCTTGATAAATCATTATCAAGGTAGGTATATTTGTATAGATATATATTCTTAAAATAAACAAACGGATAACAAATGGAAATTTAATGCATTTAAAGTAAGATTAACCATTGCTAGCGAAAAACAATTCTGAAAGGAGTTCGGTTTTATACGTTTTAAAAGACCGTAATATTTACAACTTAAAAATAATACATTTCGTAAATTATCCCATTTTTTCTATGTATTTTCCATTTATTATGAAACCCTCGAGAAAATCAAAAATGAACTTTCTTAAAGTACCACTTAAGTCAGATTTCCTTTCAAAAAAAGTGCTACGTTTGAAAATCGGAGCAAAATTGATGGCAGAAAACAGAAATAAACGTCATTGTAAAACCAATTTATTCCTCACTCCGTTCAGAATCTAAAATATTTAAAATATTAGAATATTCAATTTATATTTTTAGGTTTAATAAATAAAAATTAAATTAAATCACAACAATCGCACAGTTTTTGCGGAAACTATAACCGTGTATCAAACCCGGTACACTTTTACTACGTTTAATGTTTAGTTTTACGATAGGCAAGTACCTATAATGAACAAAATT